TATTTTTCTTTGCTAATTAATATTTTATCAGTATAAGACATAGGTCATAGGAGCTAAGGGAAAATACTAAAAATATACAGATTTTGGTCAGGCCTGGATCAAACTCACAATGTCAAAACAGAAAAACAGGTTGAAATTGCACAAGACTAATTTGTAAGTTTTGCGTGTTTGGCATTAGTTAACAGTTAAAAGCAGTGATGATATATACTCTATTAGTAGGCAAGCATTCAAGTAACAGGAAACAATTTAAAATTTATTAGGCATTTTGTTTAAAAAAAATCAGATCTTGGAGCGCCTGGGTGGCTCAGTCAGTTGAACGTCTGACCCTTGATTTTGACTCAGGTCATGAGCCTTGTGTGGGGCCTGCTTAAGAGTCTCTCTCCCTCTGCCCCTCTCCTCTGCTTGTGCTCTCTCTCTCGCTCTAAAAAATACAAAAATAAAAGTATAAAAAATCAGATCTCCTTCTGATCATAAACTTGTGCCGATCTATGTGTCAATCAATTATCTCAGCTGTGGCTACATGATCGAATCTCCTGAGTCTGACAAGTCCTCAACAATTGTGGCAACTGAAGAGACCACCTCATCGTTGCTTTGTGTGCAAGTAAGAGGTCTGCAAAGTAGCAACAGTGGGGGAAAAGGAAAGGCCTACTCCGTTTTCTCTGTCAGTATGCTTTAAAGATTTTCTTTCTCGAGGCTCTGCCTATTTGGTCTGTTCACCTTTAGATGAATAATACTTCAATGTTTTATATTCAACGATCCAGGTGTTATTATTTTTTTTTTTTTTTTACTAGAAAACATATGTAACTTAGGGGCGCCTGTGTGGATCAGTCGGTTAAGTGGCCGACTTCGACTCAGGTCATGATCTCGCGGTTTGTGGGTTTGAGCCGTGCGTTGGGCTGTGTGCTGACAGCTCAGAGCCTGGAGCCTGCTTGGGATGCTGTGTCTCCCTCTCTCTCTGCCCCTTCCCCGTTTGTGCTCCCTCTCTCTCTCAAAAAATAGACATTAAAAATTTTTTTTTAAAAACATGTAACTTATAATTGCTACTTTGTAATTTTTAAGTTACTTTCCAGAAAATCTCCTCTTCCCCAGAATCAAATATTAGCTTTGGATTTAGGTGAGCCTTGCCTTCCTAATCTCTCGCTCACGTTGCAATGGCATCAATGGGTTACCCCTCCTAAATGCTACTGATGTATAAAATCCTACGCTAAGGTTACAGAGCGACTGGCGTATAAGAGGTCAAGGAAAATAAAAGTATGGCCGATAGAAAAGACAAAAACTACACAGCTCTGTTACTTTAAAAAATGTTTTAAAAGTATAAATACATGCTTTCAAAAATTCAAATATACAGAACACCTGCACAGCTGAATACAGGAGCCCCCAGCTGTATTTCATTTGCTCAATTACCACACGGGCCGAGAAGCTATGATGTCAGGAGCTTATACATAGACCGCTTCCATCATCACAGAAAGCCCATTGGGCAATTCATTGGTTTCTGCTCTACAGTAACCACAATTAAGCACTAGTACATTATTATTACAAAAGTCCTTTATGTATTCTGGATATAAGTACCTTATCAGACATAATTTCAAAAATTTGCTGCCATTCTGTGGGTTGTCTTTTCACTTGATGGTGTCCCTTAAAACATTGAAGTTCATTTTGAGGAAGTCCCGATTTTTTCCCCTTGTTGCTTGTGCATTTGGTGCTGTGTATAAGAAATGGAAGATTTACTGGTATGTTTTCTTGTCAATTTTATAGTTTAGGTATATGATCCATCTAGATTTAGGTATACGATCCATCTGGGGCTGAAATTTGTGTAAGATGATGGTCCTTTAGCGCTCTGTGATACAGTTGTCCTGGGACTTTTTGTTGAAAAGATTACTCTTCCTTATTGAATGCTATTGGCACACTTGTGAAAAATCAATTGTTCATAAACGTTGTTGATTTCTGGATCCTCAGTTATATTTTATGTTCCCGAAACCCATGTTTATCCTTATGCCAGTACCACATTGCCTTGGTTACTGTAGCTTTGTAGTAAGTTTTGAAATTGGTTAAGTGTCAGTCTTCCAACCTTGCTCTTCTTCATGATTGTTTTGGCTTTTGTAATTTTCCATATGAATTTTATCAGTTTGTCAGTTTCTGCAAATAAGTCACCAGGGGTTTTAATGGGAATTGCACGGACTCTGGAGCATTCTGGGAGCATTTTTATCTTAACAATGTAAAGTCTTCCAATCCATGAACAAAAATGAATTTCCATTTATTTAGGTCTTCTTTAATTTCAACAATGTTGTGTAGTTTTTGTTCACCTTGATGCTATTGTAAATAGAATTAAAAAAAATCTCAATTTCAGAACATTCACTGCTGATATGGAAACAAAACTGATCTTTGTATATTGATCTTGTATCTATCCTGTGGTCTGGTGAGCTCATGTAGTTTTTATTTTATTTTCTTACAATGATGTTTTTTTTATTGAGCATAAGTTGTGTATTTTTTTTTAATTTTTAAAATTTTATTGAGCTCATTTAGTTTTTAAATGAATTTCTTAGATTTATTGGGGCGCCTGGGTGGCGCAGTCGGTTAAGCGTCCGACTTCAGCCAGGTCACGATCTCGCGGTCCGTGAGTTCGAGCCCCGCGTCAGGCTCTGGGCTGATGGCTCAGAACCTGGAGCCTGTTTCCGATTCTGTGTCTCCCTCTCTCTCTGCCCCTCCCCCGTTCATGCTCTGTCTCTCTGTCCCAAAAAAAAAAAAAAATAAATAAACGTTGAAAAAAAAAATTTAAATGAATTTCTTAGAATTTTCTACAAAACAAGTTTATATAATCTGTGAATACATAGTTTTACTTCTTTTCCAATATGGTTGACTTTTATTTCTTTTTCTTGACTAATTTCCCTGGCTAGAAACTCAAGTACAATGTTGAATAGAAGGGGTGAGAAAAAACATCCTTGTCTTGGTCCTGATTTGAGGGAGAGAACATTCAGCATTTAGTCTGTTGTCATTAATGATGTTAGGTGTGGGGTTTTTGTAGATGTTCTTTATATCATGTTGAGAAGTTTCCCTTTTATTCCTAGTTTGTTGACTATTTTTATCATGAAAGGGTGCTGAGTTTTTCAAAGCTCTTCCTGCAACTATGAAGACAATTAAGTCAATGTGGTAATTTAGTCCTTTATGAACATGGTAGCATTGATCCTCACTATTTTCGATTCTATATTTATGAATTTACCAATTTATATCTAAACTTGTTTGTAATCCCCACCTCAAAACTGTTAGCACTTCTATGATCATTCACAGGCATCTGCAGACACACGAAATTTAGAGCTTCCTGATGTGCGTGTTCTCCGTGGAGCTGAACAAGGCAATGCTTTGCCTTCCTGTTCCAGGTCCCCCCAGACGTGACCAGAAGATGAGGGGGCAGGGGGAGCGCAGTGCAGCGCAAAAAAGTTCTGGTTCTGGGGCTAGTATGAATCCCAACTCTGGCAATTATTAGTGGGGTGGCTTCAGGCAAGTCACTTAATATTTCTAAACTTCGTTTTCTCTTTTGAAAATAAAACAGTATATACCAGGATAAATTGTCTTCAGGATTTAAGATTGTAATCTATTTGAGGTATGTATACACACACACACTTCCCCTAGGAGCAATGGCTCTGTATTCACTAATTCAGTATCCACAGTGACTTTATGGAATGGAAATAATGTGAATAAGGTGAATGCTGTGACTAACAAGAAGCATCTGCATATGACACTGAATTTTGGATGTTAAACCAACCTTGTATTCCTGGGATAAATCTTACTTAGTCATGGTGTAAAATCCTTTTTATATGTTGCTAGATTCACTTTGCTAGTATTTTGTTGATGACTTTTGAGTCTATATTCAGAACAGATACTGATCTGTAGTTTTCTTGTGATGTCTTCACTGGTTTTGTATCAGGGGAATACTGGTCTCATAAGATGACTTGGGAAGTGTTCTCGCTTCCATTTTTTGGGGAGAATCTGCAAAGGATTGGTGCTAATTCTTTACATGTTTGGTAGAATACAGCAGTGAAGCCATCTGGGCTTGGTATTTTCTTTGTGGCACGTTTTAAAGTTACTAATTCAGCATCTTTGTTATCGGCAGTTGTCTTTTTCACTTGCTTTCGGTAGAACCAACAGTGGGAAGATGATCTCTCAAGGCCAGTACAATTCACTAAGAAAATTAATGTTATCGAGGAAGACATATCCAGTGTCTGTAGGATTCAGATAAGCAGCTGGCCAGGATTCTCCAGTGGCAGAACTGTCCTGCTGTCTTGCTCTAACAGAGACAAACATTTCATCACCTCTCGTGCTTTCACGACCTTAGGAACAAGAACTTTCAGCCTGTTTACAGAAGATTTAGATACAAACCTGTTAACAGACACTCGTAGTAAAGTCATATAATCACAAATTAAAGTTTGCACATTACTAGGTTATATACAGACATGCGTATTTACATATTATCTTTAAATCTATCTACAAAAATAATACCTGTCTCAGAACCTGTCAGGAAGGCAGTATGTAGTGGAATAAACACTGGAATAGAAATCTGGAGATCTCAGTTCTGGTGTCAGCTCTCACTTCAACAAGATGCCACAATCTGTTTCTCCCACCGATAAAACGAGGTTAAGCCTGATGATCACCAAGGCTTTTTTCCCTCATTCTAAAAATACAAGGACTTCTTCAACAATGTCATTCCCACTGTTGTCACTTCCGAGTGCTCGAAATGAAAATACTTTTGTTCTAAGCACATCCACACTGCATTCTTACGGAACAAGCCAACCAATTCACCAAATCTTACAAGAGGAGGAAGAGGAAGTCTGTGGCTAAATAATATAATTCCAACATCTCAAGGTCCTGGGTTTGCCATGAAATAGCCACTATTAATCCTCTCTCTCTACAAAAATGTATTTGTTTTTCCGTCACACCTCACTTCCTGTCGGTCCCGTAGCACAGGAGGCGTGTAGCCATTATGGCAGCTTTCAAACACAAGGAAGTCACTTGTCTGAAATTCGGAGCCCGTCAGAGAGACTGAACAGCATTTCATCCGTTGTCTCTACTGGCACATTACTTCTCCCAAAGCGACACGAGTCGCGGTGGGAGTGGGGACTTGAGATAAATGCATCCGCGGTCCGGCTGCAATGACAACTATCTGATGGCAAAACGCTGCTTGAGTTACCAAGATGCGAATGGTAAAGAGCGTGGAAGGAGTCTTGAGACGAGTGATACTGTCCAGCCCCCGTCGAGGTGGACGCAGGGCTCTGGTAAGGGCCGTTACACATGACACACGTCTGGAAGCAAGTCTTCCTTCCCAAACCCCGGTGAATGTCCAGTTTAGCAATGAGGGGTTTCCCAACGTTCACCTCCTGCTTCTCCTCTACAGTATCTTCCAGTCCTGAGTACTGATACGACACACACACTGTGAAGATTAGATGTTCCTGAAAAGGAACAGGAATAAAGTTATTTTTATCAACTGTGGAGCACATCAGTCTCAGAGTAACACTGACATCTACAAATACGCACAGGACCACACAACAAAATCCACTGTCACTCCCCTTTCCCAGCTTCCAATCCTCAAGGCCCGTTTACACCTTCCCTATACTAAGCAACGCCGGCTATAATCATGTTCCCTTTCCTTCATTCGATACTTTGAATTGGTAGAATTCTAGTACTTACTACTGACGGTAGTCAGAATCACAGAGACCTTGTACTGTATTCTGGAGGAATAGTTTAAAGGTGTTTTCCAAGCAGTGGGGCTTGGGAAACTTACCCAACTGGTGGAGATGGGAGAACGGTCCTTTAAGGAGAAAACCTGACTTTACACCCAGGCCAAAAGTTTAGCTGTTTTAAAAAGTATTATGAGAGGGGCGCCTGGGTGGCTCAGTCGGTTGAGCGTCCGACTTCAGCTCAGGTCACGATCTTGCGGTCCGTGAGTTTGAGCCCCGCGTCGGGCTCTGTGCTGACAGCTCAGAGCCTGGAGCCTGCTTCCGATTCTGTGTCTCCCTCTCTCTCTGCCCCTCCCCCGTTCATGCTCTGTCTCTCTCTGTCTCAAAAATAAATAAACGTTAAAAAAAATTAAAAAAAAAAGTATTATGAGATAATAATCCATGGTCACAGGTGGAAAAGTATAACTGCATCAGATCACAGGCTTATTTCACAGACAAAGGAGACTGAAGAAGATTAGCTATGAACAGGGTGACGATAGTTTGTATCTGTTGTTCCAACTAGAAAATGATTATTCAAAGATGCAAAGATATTTAAAAGCAGACTATGCTCTGTATCTCTAACTTTTTTGTTTTAAATGTTTATTTGAGAGAGAGAGAGCACACACATGCAGAAGAGGGGCTGAGAGAGAGACAGACAGACAGACAGACAGACAAAGAGAGAGGAAGAATCCCAAGCAGGGTCCATGCTGTCAGCACGGGGACTTGAACAGATCTCACAAACTGTGAGATCACGACCTGAGCCAAAATCAAGAGTTGGATGCTTAACCAACTGAGACCCAGGCACCCCTCTTTTCCATCACATACACTCTCACGTGAACATCTTCAGGCCATTAGCAGGGACAGAACACCACGTGGAAGGGGGGTCACTGATAAGACTGTGTATCACGTATCTCTACTTCAATTTAACACTCAGTGAAGCAGCAGTCTATAAAGCGATACAACCGTCACACGCCAAAATGAGTTTTCACTTTCGTAAGATTAGCAGTTACAAACAGGAAAAGTCATAACCTTTAATTTTTGCAGTGAACTGAGCCGAGTATAGAGGCACTGCTTGGGGAGATCCTTTGACACCAAATAGCTGCCGGTTTCCTCAGGCGTCCCTTTGTTTGCAGCTTTTGGATCAATGTCTAAGTCCTGTGAAAAGTAGCAGGCATTATCAATGAAATCAATGAGACTCACAACACTGTGCATGACAATAAAACATCTGAACAGGTATTTCTCTCTTACGAATTTTGGCTGAGTAGGTAAACTCTCATCCAGGACTAAACAAACAACAAAGACAACACTCTAGAGTACAATAGGAATTCTAAATTCTGCACACATATGCTTAAAAAGTTAGCTGTGCAAGGACAATTACTTCCAAACTATCCCCAGAGACACTTCTTCACCCACTCCAAGCTTCCTTTCACATCCAAGCCCCGTTAGTGTGTGACTCCTGGATTCTCGTCCTATTCATCACTTTTGGGCAGGTGCAGGGGGTTATCTAGAAACAATAAACGGACAAGACACAGACAGCCCTTCCCTTTTCTTCTCTAAGAGACAACTCCTGTTGTCCCACCGAGGGCGGGAGATCTGTTCTGGAACTCCAGGGCGAAGGCCTCAGGTTCTGCCCTGACCAATGCCCAGAAAGCTGCCGGGGCTGGTAGAGACACCTATCTAATTCTGGGCTTCAGTGCTGGAACATCTGCTCTCACACTAAGCAATGTCCTCCATGAAGCTTTTATCAATACCAAAGGTGATGCTCTGGATTTGTCTTGGATCTTGCTTACTTCTCAATTTACTAAACTCGTGTAGGAAAGAGATTTATTGGCTTCTTTAGGCTGACACAAAATACATACTGTATCTTAATTTATGGAAAAACAAATTTCTGTGCTTCCAATATACTACCATAAGACTTTAATTAACAACAGTAGTTTTTAAAAGGAAATTATTTTTGACATAAGAATAACAAATTTTATTCCTTCATATTTGATATTCTTCTTAGGGTAAGGGAAATTAAAGGCTTCTTTCCTGGGTGAAATTTGACATTTAGGATATTTTTGGTGATTAGTTTTTAAATATTATGACTACTGTCACTAAAACACAAATAAGTATTTACATAAATGGAATATATAGGTATTTATATTTCCTTTAACTTTACCATGAAGTTTCCAAATGTTTAGTTATTAGTAAGTGAGGCTGTAATCGGTATATTTCGAACCAAAGAAGAAAGGGGGGACTTACGAGAGGAAAATCTGTGACGTAGGCATCGCACATCACTACGTCGGGCGGCTTGTGGACTATGCTTGTGTAGATTATCATGACGTTGGAGAACTCTGCGGCAAACCCTAACTGAATCTGGACACCGCACTGAAATTTAAGGCACATACTTTCTGGGAGTTCTGAAAAAGAACAAAAAGAACAACTTGTAAATAATCATTTGAGGAGTGCTCGGTAAGTTTTCTGATGATGAGCGACAGATAAATATTCTTTAAGGGCAAAACAGGGCTTTTGTTTTCACTCAGAAAGGTTCTGTAACTACCACATTGTTCAAAGACACATAAACACACATGCATACACTTACAGAAAGAGGAAAAAAAGCCCCATATTCTGCTGGTTGGTCAGGCAAATAAAAGCCTTGCATTTACTATTTCCTGACAGTTCTTGTCCCTCTGCATATATAATTTTGACAGTGGTAACCAAAAGTATCCACACAACTTGTAAATTTTCACTGCTGCCTCAATCTTCATGAAAATAGTTTTCAATAAGCATAATGTTGCTGAATAGTTTGCTACTTTGAACAACTCCACTATTCTTGAATATCTATAGTATTTCTGGATTTTATTGTTTTTCTACCATAGTTAATATTTCTTATATACATGTACTTAATGCTTTAGATACAGCTGCTGGGCGGTTCCTCACACATGTGACATTCTCCACTCACGTAGACTGTAAATAGATTTGACCATACAATTTCCAAAATGAACATTAATTTTCAAAATGTTTACCCAGTTGATGAGATTAAAAAGGAAAAACTACACTATCATAGTTTTAATTTTGTTTTCTCTCATTACTACTTAAGTTTACCATTTTTATATTTGTTTCTTAATTATTAATATATCCACAACTGTGTATATTGTTGAATTTGCATCCTTCGGTGAGTGATTAAGGGAGTCTTAATGTTTTTCCTTTTACCATTTTGTAAGAACTTTTTAAATTATTTTTAAATGTTTTATTTTATTTTTGAGAGAGAGAGAGACAGAGAGACAGAGTGCAAGCAGGGGAGGGGCAGAGAGAGAGAGAGAGACACAGAATCCGAAGCAGGCTCCAGGCTCTCAGCGGTCAGCATGGAGCCCGATGTGGGACTCGAACTCATGAACCGTGAGATCATGACCTGAGCTGGAGTCGGACACTTAACCGACTGAGCCACCCAGGCGCCCCTTGCATGAACTCTTTAACATAAAAAATACCAAACCTGTTACCAAAAACAGTGCTCTCTTCTAGAGCCTGTTTGCCTTTGGTAAGATGACATATATCCATGTGTAAAAGATAAGAAATAAGTATTATTTTAAGACCACAATCTTTTCATGATGTTTTAAAATATTTGGGCCATAAACTTCCTGCAAATCAGGTTATAGTCTCAGTAACACAGACTCACTCGATAACTATTTTACTGAACACCTACTATGTGCCAGGTGTGGTATAAGTAATGAGCAAACAGGAAAATACTGGACCAGACACTTCTAAACTTTTTTTTTTTTTAATTTGAAAATCTAATTGGCCTCATTAGGCGATTTATGAATTGGGCAGCATCTCATCCACCAAGTAAAGAGATACTTCCTTAGTTTCATTTTATAAAAGGGTTTTTTGTTTTGTTTTGTTTTTTCTCTTTTCACTGTTGATCTTTACCACCGTGATTCTATTGTTGTTTAGAGTTTTTAATCTTTATTATTACTTTTTAATGTTTGTTTATTTATTTTTTTGAGAAAGCGAGCAAGTGTGAGTAGAGAGGGGAGGGGGACAGAGGATCCCAAGCAGGCTCCGTGCTGACAGGAGAAGGCCGGATGCAGGGCTTGAACTCACAAACTGTGAGATCATGACCCGAGCCGAAGTCCGACACTTAACCGACTGAGTCATCCAGATGCTCCTAGGTCTTTTTTAGAGGAAAAGACTCGTAGTAAATCCAAAATCTTCACTTGTCAATGATTTACATTCACTTTTTCACTAAACACACAGAATTACCAGTAGTAATTCATTATGTTGTAGATAGGATTTCCACTCCCTCTTTCTCCTGCTCACCAACTCGCTGCTTCAAGAGTCAGAGAGAGAGCGAATGCCCAGTAATATTTATGAGCACATAGTATTTGCTGACTAGTATGCTTGTCTTTTTACATGTGCGACCTCCTTCAACATCAACAACCGCAGCAAGTGTTATTTCTTGTCCCCATTGATAGGCAACACGCTTACCAAGGGGCAGAGACAGAATCAGAACCCAGGCCTGTCTGATTTTTCAAACGGCACACTTCCAGCAGCTCAGAATATGATCAAGTCTAAGGGACTGTATATCAGGTAGATTGTTTAGTCTTGGGTTTGCCCACCACGCTAAAATGTTGTCACTACAAAGTTGAGAAGAAAACCATTTATCCAGGAGGAAAAAACCTCCTTCGTGATTTAACACAAGCACATTATAGAACAACGTCACAAAAAGCAGCCGTCACCGTACCGTGTGCCTTGGCCCACTGCAGATTCCGCACCAGAGATTCCGCAGAATATGCTGTTCCCTGTATTGGGTCAGTAAGTGCTCTCTTTTCAGACAAGCTGCTCCGAATCTCCAGAGCCTGTTTGCCTTTGGTAAGGTGACACTTACCCATGTCTAAAAGATAAGAAATAAGTATTGAGACCACAGTCTTTTCATTATGTTATGTTTTAAATACTTAGGCCAGGAACTCCCCTGAAAATCAGGTTATACTCTTAGTATCTATCACTTATTCACTCAACAAGTATTTACTGAACACCTACTATGTGCCAGGAACGGGTCAAAGTAATGAGCAAACAGATGTGAGAGAGAGAGAGAGAGAGCGAGCGAGAGGGAGACAGAAAGAGAACATGAGTGGGGGAAGGGCAGAGAGCGAGAGGGAGACACAGAATCCGAAGTGGGGTCCAGGCTGAGCTGTCAGCATAGAGCTGGACGTGGGGCTCAAACCCACGAACCGTGAGATCATGACCTGAGCCGAAGTCAGACACTTAACCGAATGAGCCACCCAGGCGCCCCCCTCAAAATTTTTTTTAAATGTTGGACCAGCCCACTTCTAAAGGCCCTTTTAACTTTTATCTTCTATAATTCTATTACCAAATCCCTAATACCTTAAACCTTAAAATTCACAACGAACTGAAAGTATATTTGTTTACTGAAAGAGTAGTCCTCATTTTATGTCTGCACTCCGTTGGGAAATACACGCAGTTAGTAAACAAATGACTATTTATCTACGAGAAAGTTAAGGTCCCGTGCCATCTACACCTCAGATATCTTTATTTTGAGAGAGAGAGAGAGAGAGAATGAATTCCAAGCAGGCTCCACACCCGACACGGGGCTCGATCCCAAGAACCATGAGATCATGATCTGAGCCCAAATCAAGTCAGACACTTCACTGACTGAGCCACCCAGGAGCCCCTACCATGCATATTTCAATTTTCACTCAAACACAGGCACTGGTAAGTAGTATATGCCAATGTTTTAGGTTTTGAACTTAACGAAAAAGTTATGCCACAATGTGTTTTCATCCAACCTATTTAGACAAAGACTTACGATTATTGATAAATCTCAATTTAAACTTACAAAGCTATATATTATTTAATATGAACAAATTATTTCTCCTACATCTACATATATTATTATTAATAAAGTTATAAACTAATAGTATCTGGTCTTGGGAAAGTAGTTACTTATCTGGAAAAAAAGAGGTGAAACTAAGATTCTTAAAATAAATTTTTTTTAATGTTTATTTGTTTTTTTCGGGGGGGGAGGGGCAGAGAGAGAGGGAGACACAGAATCTGAAGCAGGCTCCAGGCTCTGAGCTGTCTGCACAGAGCCCAATGCAGGGCTCGAACGCAGAGTGAGATGATGACCTGAGCTGAAGCGTGACGCTTAACCACCCAGGTGCCCCAAAACTAAGATTCTTAAATAGAAGAATCTATTCTGAAATAGAAGTCTCATATATAAAGCAGATAAAAGCAGACTTTTCTGGCTGAAGCAGGATGGCAGGAGGAGGTCCAAAGCTCTGGCTGTCTATGTTACATGGGAAAACGGTGAAGTCAGGTGACCCAGCTACAAGATCTGCACTGATAAAAACATGAAAATAGAGGTGACTCATGGCTCTTAGGGTAACTTTCACATATCTGATACTCAAGTTGCCATCTTTGGAACACCCAAGAAACTCCATTTCTCATGGGCTGGTTTGCAAAAGAACTGTTTTTTGGTATGACTTTTATTATTTTATTAAAAAAATTTTTTTCTTTATTTCTGAGAGAGAGAGAGAGACAGAGAGAGAGAGAGAGAGAGACAGAGAGGGAGGGAGGGAGGGAGGAAGGGAGGGAGACACAGAATCCGAAGCAGGCTCCAGGCTCTGAGTTGTCAGCACAGAGCCCGATGTGGGGCTCTAAATCACGGAACTGCAAGATCGTGACCTGAGCCAAGGTCAGATGCTTAACTGACTGAGCCACCCAGCGCCCCGAAAGCAGAGTTTAAAAACCATTAAGTGCATCAAGAAAAAAATGAACCCAGACTTTTCCACCAGGCCTCAAAATTTCTGTAAGGCTGTATCTCTAATCCTCAGAGAGGATGCTCTCTGGACCCGGTTTCTGCAAACAAGCAGTCGGGCAGCACCAGGCACGAGGCACAGAAACGAGGCACACAACTCGGAGAATGAAACTTCACCAATTCCACAGTCTTGCCTGCGATCAGTGCCGCGGCTCAAGTCATGCTGCGCAGAGGGCATAAAGCCAAGTCAACAGAATGAGGAAGGGGGGGGGGAATTAAATGGAGTGTTGCTGAACACTGCCTAAATTTTTGTTTTTTATAAAATAAATATTAATTCCAAACCTGCACAGTAATAGTAGGAAGAAAATAATTACCAGAGGACCCTGAGTAGCTTTCTCTTTATTTATTTTACCTTCTGCAACTTCATCCAGTAACACAGTAATTTTCTTGTCTTCTAATAATCTATCTTTTAAAAATTTCATGAAAATTCCATTTGCCAACCCAGAATGCTGGATTTCAAAAGCTTCTGCCCCTTGACACCTTAAAAAACAGCAAAAAGACAAATTAAAACAAAAAGAAAGGAAACACTTGCCATATGGGCTTGCATAAATACGGACGAGCTTCATTTGCTTCTCAGCCTCCTGCATGACATCTTAATTAAACAGTTAATCTTTAAGCAGGAACTAAATGCTCTGGTGCTTAGTGAAAAGAAGATGTCAGGATAGGAGGTGCCAAAGTCAATTATTTAAAACTTCGTATCGAGGATATCAAAGAGGAAAATTTATGCCTACATTTCTATGGATCTGTCTAGGCTTCTAATCTATAATCAAAAAGAAGTCATGAAAAATGAAGGCATCTTGAACATAAATATAAAATTTCCTTACGTGGCGTATCCAAACACAATGTTGGCGGTGACTTTTAGTGCATCCAAGATCGGGATGGTGTCATCATAGTCATTTCTACATAAAAGGGAGGAGGGAGAAGAACAGATACAAATGTGAAAAAAGTTAAACAGCATTTTGGAGAGCTTTAATAATATAATGGAAAATATAACACTGTTGTATTACATATGATTTAAAATTATAGATTCAAAATTCCTTTATCGAACCAGCCACATATTTACCCAAAATAATCCAGGGCTCCTATGCTGCTGAGAGGGCAGATGGCCACATCCTTTCTCTGCTTAGCTTTAAACAGGACCAACATCTGAACTCTGGCATTGGTTTTTGATTGGTAAACGCTGAGCAAGCACAAACTCTATTTCTGAGAGGAATAATCACTGGTTCTATTCCTTAGTAACACAGTGGCCAACAACTGGGATCTGAAGCTTCAAACATGAGGTTCGGCTACACTTTCTGTATCTGTGAGACCAGGACTGACAGAAGCCCCACTGACCACGGGTGTTCTTTCTGTCAGTTTCTGGAGGAATAACTGAGAGACGACTGGAGACACCTACAGGCATTCTGAAGAGCTGAACCTTCTGGAGTGTGAATAAATACCCATGCCCTTGGGGCGCCTGGGTGGCTCAGAGTTAAATGTCTGACTTCGACTCAGGTCATGATTTCACGGTTTATGAGTTCGAGCCCCGAGCCGGGTGGGCTCTGGGCTGAGAGCTCAGAGCCTGGAGCCTGCTTCAGATTCTGTGTCTCCCCCTCTCTCTGCCCCTCCCCCATTCACACTCTGTCTGTCTGTCTCTCTCTTAAAAAATAAACAAACATTAAAAAAAGAATTTTTTAAAAAATAACCATTAAGAAAAATTAAGAAAAAATACCCACGCCCTTTAGTTCCTCACTTTGGTTCTATAGCAAATAAGAAAAAAGTTAAAATCATTAAATACACATGGAGAAAATATATTTTCCTCTAGTGTCCTTCTTGGTCAGTTTCAATCTGTAATTACAAATTCACAAGTTTGGGGCGCCTGGGTGGCTCAGCCGGTTAAGCTTCCAACGTCGGCTCAGGTCATGATCTTGTGGTTCCTGAGTTTGAGCCCCGCAGCAGGCTCTGTGCTGACAGCTCAGAGCCTGGAGCCTGCTTTGATTCTGTGTCTCCCTCTCTCTCTGCCCCTCCCCAGCTCATGCTCTGTCTCTCTCTCTCTCTAAAAAATTAACGTTAAAATAAAAAAATTTGCAAGCTTAGGTGGTTCTTAGAATTCCCAGGTTTGCCTTAGATTTACTTGTTAACGCTGATATTTACCTCAGTCCAATGAGCTTCATTTAACACAGACAGCTTACCTTTTCCTACACATGTCCAACAAGAACACGTTGAGTCCGGTTTCCTTTTCTTGCATCAATTTCAGTATATTTTGTACACAGAGACAGTTTTCAGACCTATATGGATTTGGAGCATCAACAGGGACCATAAAGCTGTTCCCAAAGTTTTCGTAACCATGTCCTGCATAATATAATAATCCTGGAAAAGAGAAAAAAGGGGTAAAAATTAACTCTAAATTGCACTCTGATGTAGCACTCTTGTGGAAAAAACCCAGTCTTTTATTTTCTTCAAGTTAATGCAAGCTTATTTAAGAGATACCCAACTATAAACACAGTCAATGTTAACTAAGTTTGCACCGAAAATTATTTTGACAACAGTCTTCAAATACTGTATTTTTTTTTTTTAATATTTTTTTTCAACGTTTCTTATTTATTTTTGGGACAGAGAGAGACAGAGCATGAACAGGGGAGGGGCAGAGAGAGAGGGAGACACAGATTCGGAAACAGGCTCCAGGCTCCGAGCCATCAGCCCAGAGCCCGACGCGGGGCTCGAATTCACGGACCGCAAGATCGTGACCTGGCTTAACCGACTGCGCCACCCAGGCGCCCCCAAATACTGTATTTTAAACTGACATCAAGATGCTGTCGTGAAGTATGTTTTAGTTCATAAAAATGGTATATTTGTAACCAGTGGTATAATATGGAATGCAGATTTATCTTATGTTATATAAAAAAGAAAAAGGCTAAGGACTTCTTTGTTGACTCGTTTGTCTTCTCCATGAGATCAAGAGCTCCCCCAGGGCAGGGACAGTATTATCTCTATCTGTGGATTCCTGGCACACAGCAGGAGCTTAGTAAGTTTTTAATGGATGAACAAATAAACATATTTAGATGACTAGTAACTACTAAATCCAGTACAGGAAATTCTATAGGCAAAAAAAGGAAAAACAAATCCCACAGGCATTTATATACATAATTAGTAAGGGCTATAAAAATAAAAACGTAGTCTATAAAAAAAATGATTATTTATTTATTTTGAAGGGGGGGGTAGGGCAGAGAGGGAGGGAGGGAGAATCCCAAGCAGGCTCCACATGCTGTCAGCACAAAGCCCCACGTGACGCTTGATCTCATAAACCTCGAGATCGTGACCTGAGCTGAAATCAAGAGTTGGACACTCGACTGACTGAGCCTCCCAGGTGCCCCTAAATGTAGCTTTTTCTAAGAAGGGAAGGAAAATCTGTTTTCATGGATTACTACTTTTTTTTTTTTTTTTAAGATCTAAGTTTATTTTAAGAGAGAGTAAGAGAGAGCAGAGGAGAGGCAGAGAGAGAGGGAGGGAGGGAATCCCAAGCAGGCTCTGAGCTGTCAGCGCAGAGCCCAACGTGGGGCTCAAGCCCATGAACCGTGAGATCATGACCTGCGCTGAAATCAAGAGTCAGATGCTTAACTGACTGAGCCACCCAGGAGCCCCATTACTACTTTTTCTTTTCGTTACGAGATATAAATATCATTAATTTTCCATCTAGAGTCTCTTGAATTCATAATCTAAAATTTACATTCATTTTAGTAGTCCATAGATGAGTCATTTCTTTACTGAGAAACGATACTATAAAAACTGCACCAAACGACTCTGAACATTTTCTTGAAAAGATGTTTGTTTTGGCTGTAAAAAACAAAAAACAAAAAACAAAAAAACCCCCAAATATCAGTATGGGCTTCCTTATAAAAATATTTGATAGAAATATTTGTGAAGATACATCCCCCTAGGCACGCAATCTCTAAGCCCCACTGATTTTGCTCTGTCAGCGTCCTGGATATGACGACTTCTTTCTATGGCTTTCTGACATTAATAGTAAAAAGGCGCCAAGCTGGGGAACAACCGAGAAGCTGCTCCCTGCACCTACAGCTCCAATTCCGAGCAAAGAATGTAGCTTCGAACAACTTGCTCCATTTGGGCAGAACCCAGGTCTATTTTTCTTGAACTCTGACTAAAGTGAAAAAAACGGTTCTTTCATATGTAACATTTCAGGTAAAAAAAAAATGACAAAATGGGGGACACCTGTGTGGCTCAGAGAGTTAAGCGTCCAACTTCGCCTCGGGTCATGATCTTGTGATTCACTGAGTTCGAGCCCCGCATCCACAGAGCCTGCTTTGAATTCTCAATCTCTCTCTCTCGAAAATAAACATTTAAACTAATGACAAAATGGGCACATTCATGTATTCAGTGTAGGTTTATTCTATCTCATCTGTGTCCTGAATGAAAGAAATGAAAAAGAAAAGGAAGACAAGGTTCCTGCCCCAAGGATCTTGCAACTCATTCAGACCTGCTCATGTTGTTAAAGAACACAGAAAGTCAGCATACAATGAAATATCATAAATTATGTGATTAAGGAAACCTTGTATGATCTGAGTAAGGTGCACGGAGGAATCGGTGTGAAGGGAAGCAACCATAGGTGGTCTTGGGAGACTGGGTACAATTCGGAAAACCAGAGAAAGAGCAAGGGGCGTTAGGGAACGGAAACAAACCAGGCGTGGGCCTGGAATGGCAGCCAAGAGAAAGGAGACCAGCCTGGCAAGGAATTAAACTATCCCCGGAAAGAAGAGGGGCACTGACACGAGCATCTTAAACATCGTGACACAGGGAGTGGATGTAATTCACTAAGCAATGAAGACTGAGTGAGTGAAAAGCCAGCCCGAAGAATGAGAGAAAACACTCGCGAACAGTAGATCTGTAAGGACAACTTGTATCTAGAATACAGAAAGAGCTCTTCAATTCGACCATAAAAAGACAAATAGCCAAGTAAAAAATGGGCAAAGGATCTGAACAAACATTTCTCCAAAGAGGATAGCGAACAAATAAACACACGAAATGCAAGACAGAACAATGAGATCCCACATCACGCTTACTAGGACAGCTACAATAAACACACAGGCGTGAACACGTGTTGGCAAGGATGGAGAGAAACTGGAAGCCTCATTTACTTCTGGTGGGAACATGTAGTCAGGAAAGAGTTTAAGTGGTTCCTCAAAAAGTTAAACGCAGAATTCCCATATGATTAAGCAATCGCAGTCCAAGGTGTATACAGCCAAGAGAACTGAAAACCTGTGTCCACACAAGAATGTGCACACGAGTGTTCACAGCGGTGTGATTCAGAATAGCACCCAGAGGCAACAACCTACGTGTCCAGCGGCTGATGGATGGAAATGTGGTACATCCATACCATGATTATCCAGCCATAAAAGTAACGCAATGACACGGACGAACCTTGAAAACATTACGCTGAGAGAAAAAAGCCAGGCACGGAAAGATTCCATTCTACAAAATGGCTCCAAAAGGCGAATCCATAAAGATAGAAAGAAAAGCTGCTGTTACCAGGGGTTTGGGACAAAGAGGAATGACGAGTGACGGCTAACGGACGTGGAGATTCTTTCTGGGGTGATGAAAATGTTCTGGAATTAGGTGACTGATGCAAAACTGTGAATACGCTAAAGCCACCGAACTGTACGTTTCAAAACAGTAGAATTTATATACTTCTTTATCAAGTACAGGCACCCCTCACTTTTTTTTTTTTTTAACATTTATTTATTTTTGAGACAGAGAGAGAGAGACAGAGAGCATGAACAGGGGGCGGTCAGAGAAAGAGGGAGACACAGAATCTGAAACAGGCTCCAGGCTCTGAGCTGTCAGCACAGAGCCCGACGCGGGGCTCGAACTCACAAACCGCGAGATCGTGACCTGAGCCGAAGTCAGACGCTGAACCGACTGAGACACCCAGGCGCCCCACCCCCCCCTTTTTTAAAGTTTGTGCCACACCACTCTGCCTTTAAGAGAGACCCAGATTACAATGTCTGGTTTTGCTAACCAAAGGAATCTAAAGAGGACTTTTTTTTAATGATTATTTATTTTTGAGAGAGACAGAGGAAGGGAGAGAGGGAAGGAGAGAATGAGCGGGGGAGGGGCAGAGAGAGAGGGAGACAGAATCCAAAGCAGGCTCCCGGCCCTGAGCTGTCAGCCCAGAGCCAGATGCAGGTCTCGAACCCATGGACCATGAGATCATGACCTGAGCCAAAGTCGGACGCTTAACTGAGCCACCCAGGAGCCCTGAGACGTTTTGCATTTATGAAAAAAAGGCAAAAAGCAGAAATGGCATTTAGCGTTTGTTTGCAGCAAGTCATTTGGAGGCAGAACACAGCCAAGCAGAGAGAGAGGCACTGCCGGCTCCTTCCCCAGGATCCACACTCAGCATCCCGGCAGCAAACCGCCAGACCTCTGAGCTGTGTCTGTGAGCATCTGGGTTGTATCTCAATGTATCTTGTGCATCCGTCAGCAAGATGTGTCCGGAGGTACCAGAAAAGGCTGTCTGGGCCTGGGAACGCTCACACAGCGGGAAACCTGTGTCTAAAATGGGACTCTCTTCCCCATCAGTCTGTTCACCGCTTCCCAAAGCAAGGTATGCTCATTTGTAACCTTCACGACTCTGCCTCAGTTACTCTCCCTCCTTCCCATCTACCCACATCATGCCAATTCCTCAAGGGTTATCTCACGCTCAGGACCCTCAGCAGGTTATCACCTGGTTTCCAGCTTTTTGACACTTCGGTCTCTCCCTGCTGTGAAGCCGTGTGGCAGCACTCTGACACATAATCACACGCTGGCTTTTAGGGACACCTTACAGTTCTATGCATATTTAATTTCTTTGGTAAAAATGCTCATAAGAGACATTAATCTTATACGTTTGTATAGCTTTCTCACGGTTCTGAAAATATGTTCATATACATGAACTGATTTTAATCCACATAACAATGTTTAAATGATTTATACCCATATTTTATAGGTGAGAAAATGAAAAAGGTAAGTGATTTGCTTACAATCATACAGCTCATAGGTGTTCCAACTCCAAAAAAAGCATTTTTAATTTTTTCCTCATTATATTAAGGGACTTAGAGTTTTGAGAGTATAAATCATGTTCTTTATTTTCCATATCTCCTTCGACACCTAGCATACTCCTTTATCTGTGCTATGGATATATTAAGGAATTCAGTAAATACTTTTGAATGCATTAATTAACAATGCAAACCAATCAGGAGAGAGCTGGATCCAGAGAACTTTCTATAAAGGGTCTGATTTTCAGTAGAAACGGTACCATTTCTACAACTGATGTTACTTCAGACAGCCAACCAGGCAGCTTGAGTATTGTCCCCGCTGTTATCATTTGACACATCTGCCTCCAGTGAGACGTAACTTGGGAGAAGCAGCAAGTTCAAGGGAAGGTTTAAGCTCCGTCAACCAGGGAGACCTAAGCATGGCCCGTTACTTCAATGCCATACGTCCCACTCGGCAATCATTGAAATTAAGGCACTTACAAGAACAAAAAACCTTTCTCCGCCCCAACATGACTTATGGAAAGTGGAAGCATTTTGTATCAAAGTCTACATCGAAATAGTACGGCAGGAGATTAAACATTTTTATGTACAACAAACTAGGCCAAATCCTTGTATTTTAAGAATCCCATCTCTATTACTGCCAATTAATTTTATCAATTATCGCATTACTCAAAGGGTAGAGGTACAAAATAGGCATCTTTATAAAATGACAAAAGTATTTTTTTTTAAGTTTATTTACTTATTTAAGTAATCTCTACACTCAACATGCGGCTTGAACTCACGATCCTGCGACCAAGAGTCGCCAGCCGAGGCGTCCCAAATGACAGGAAATTTAATGTGGTTAGAAATATAATCCTGTCCATTAGACCTTTAGGGAATCCTGTTTCTTGGGAACATGATTTCCAAGGACATAGTTTATTACAGATATTTATTCTCGCTTACAGAGAAGAGAATTGCCGAGACGGAAGACGGTCCCACCGGAGTTGAGCTGCAGTGCACCTAGCACAGTGCTCTGACGAGGACAGTCACTGCCACCACCACTGTCACCGTCAGCCTACATAGCTCTTCCTGTGTGCCAGACACAGTCTGAATAAAGTGCTTTAGTTGTATAGTTATCACCTCCTATAATCCTCGTATTTCTCGTAACCAGGCAGTTATATTATCACCCACCTTTTACAGATGGAAATACTGACACACTGAGAGGTTTAATGGTTCAAGTAAATCGACATGACTAATAAGTGACGGAACCAGAGTCTGGATGCTGGCCAGGCCAACCACTGTGCTATACTCCACGGTCTCTTTATAAGCTGCTGCTGGCTTTCTAGTTAACTTTACTCTCAGAAAATATAAAATGTCAGTGAGCTGGTTTTCCATGGCTTCGCTACACTATCATTTAAAAAACTCCCTTTTTTTCTTCCAAATGAAACCTTAGGCTGAACCTTAATATATAAAAACATATGAAAGCTGGGGTTCTCTAATTGAGGCCTCGAGTGGAATGCTATCTGGTTCAAACCTTGCATCTAAAGATGCAGACAAACTGGAATTCAGGAAATTATACCGGTAATACTTTTACTGTGCCAGGCACGGGGATAATTATTTTACCTTTATTTATTCTGCAATCACTTCGTTAAGTTAGTCTATCCATTTCATAAATCCTTTTTTGCTTATAAAAGTTAAATAGCTTAGTTACGGTTCCACACTAGTCAGCAGAAAAGCCGGAGCGCTGAGCACGAGCGAGCTGACTTAAGGTCCCCGCCTCACCACGCAGCTCTGAACTGAACGACTCCTCCAGGGTAAACGAGACTTGGCCATATTCTGACCAGACTCCAATATCCTTCTCCACCAAAGCACAGCTGAACCGCAGCAGGTGGAGAATGCAGGAAGGCACAGTGTGGGGAGGGGGGATTTCAGTTACTCTCTCTCATAGCCATCTACGTGTGACAACTAGAAATCTTTACCTTCACCTGTCTTCGAGGACATGTAGTAGAGATCAGTTATTTCTGTTCTCAGAGGGTGTTTTTTAGGTTTATGTATGTTTTCAAAGTGAGTTACCTACTTTCTGTTTTGGGGCAACTTTTGCTTCTTTTACAAACCCATGGGCAACATGATATAAAAGGGCATAAGCCTGGATGCGTATGCTTTCCGCAACTGAAGTCGTTCATGCTGAAATTCTCCCACGGCTCTGCCTTGGCCTCCCCCACCCCACAGGCCGTCAACTGGAGGTGAAGGCGCAGTGCAGGAGGAAGGCCCTGTGACGCGAAGCCTCTGCCACACTTACGTCTGCATCAGATGTGCCTGATGCCTGGGGTACGCACAACGCTTCAAAACAGAAAACTTTAATATTTATTTATTTATTTAGAGAGCCGAGAGCAAGCGAGCAGGGGAGGGGCAGAGAGGACAGAGGGAATTCCAAGCAGGCTCTGTGCTGTCAGTGCAGAGACTGATGTGGGGCATGAACTCACGAACCGTGAGAGCATGACCTGAGCTGAAATCGAGAGTGGGCCACTCAACCGATGGAGCCGCCCACACGCCCCGATGGTGTTTTTGTATCGGGGCAAAGCCTCAGCACAAGCTGAGCTCTTCTTGCCACAACTTTTTAATATTTCTGGTTTTCTACTTTACAGGCGCAATTAAAAGTTTTGGTGTAAGCTAGACAAAGGACTTAAAGCTAAGGTGACAATTTCAGTAAGAAATGAGAATGAGGGGTGCCTGGGTGGCTCAGTCGGTTGAGCGTCCGACTTCGGCTCAGGTCACGATCTCACGGTTCGTGAGTTTGAGCCCCGCATTGGGTTCTGTGCTGACAGCTCGGAGCCTGGAGCCTGCTTCGGATTCTGTGTCTCCCTCTCTCTCTGCCCCTCCCCCAGTTGCACTCTGTCTCTCTCTCAAAAATAAATGAACACTAAAAACAAAATTAAAAAATCCTTTGAGCCTCATTAGCAATTCCACCAAGCTTACCTCATCATATCAGTCTCATTACAAATAAAAGGCTGAATTTAGAAATTAATCTATTTAGAAATTACTGAAGCAAAATAATTTGAAAGATATAAAAGCTTTCAAACGGATACTTTTTATTTATCACCAGCATGCCTAATAACAGGCCTGGAAATGCCACTTCCCTGGCAATCAAATGTGATCGCACTGCATCACAGTCCCACCCCCTGTGAAATACAGCCCAAGTGAGCCCGCCGGCTGGCCTGCCTTTTGTGGCTATCCTCATTTAAAAAAGTAAGTTACCAAAGAGATTACTTACTCCTGACAACATACTCTGTCTCTTTAAAAAATCTTTACCATATATGTGGTGTTCTTAACATATTTCCATGAGGAAATGAATAAAATGATTAAAAATTTACTGTTAGAATTTTTGTGGAGGTCCACCTTTAACTATGTTTGTACAGAGCTTTAGTTTACAAACTGTTTTCGTATGTTTCATTCACTAACAAATCCTTGCTAAATTCCAGTTCCCATTAAAGGATTAGAAAATGCCATGAAATAGTTAGAAAAAGGAAACAAACATAAAGAACGTACATTCGGTTACCTTTCGTACTACACACACACACACACACACACACACACACACACACAGAGCAATACTGTACATATATGAGTATACAATTTGCCATTTGGCCATTAAGCTTTACTGTACTTCAGCTCTTATCAATAAAAACCAAAATCACCGAAGACAGGAAAGAATTATTCTAATAAGAACAAAAATGTTTTCACAAGAGACATTAAAGACACTGAGTTCATTAGTTATTCACATGGAGCTACAGAATGAAGATCAAATCCATCGTCTTTACAAGAACAAAACTCTTCCTTCACTTCAACAACATGTTCACTTCAACAATGATCAAATCAGACCATTTTCTGATTTTTACCGCCTAACCTAACTTGTGCAACGAAGAGTGGCTAATTATAAAAACAGGCCTGTAAATATCTTACCATAAACTCCTTTGTCTAAAAGGAGTAAAAATTCATCCACGGCATTTCGCATCTCATACTCAGTGAGATCCAACAGCGAAACAACTTTGAAATCTAGTTGTCTTAACAAGTTGGTCAACTCGTACACATCCACCAAAGGAGCTTTGAGCTTGGGGTGTTCCCAGTAATTCATATTTCCTATCAAAAGAGCAACCTTGTCCTTTGCTGTTAAAAAAAAGAGAGAGAGAGGGGATTTAAAGGGAGGATATAAAGATTAAGATTAAAGTAAGACCTATGGAAATGGTAGAATTATAACAAATTGTATGCTTTACGAATTAAGATCTCGTTCTAATTTAATTTCATTTTAGAGGTACTACTTTATGTGGAAAACTCCAGTGAGGAGCACAGGCTGATAGACAACAGAGAGTAGACTTATTCGTGCTCACTCGGGCCAAGGCTATTGATGAACTGCATAGGAAGCCACATACTTGTACTGAGTTACAACAAAAATAAAGAGTATAATATTCAACTAGCTTTTAGAGCAAATTTAAACAAGCAATGTTAGTAACTGGGTTCCCATCAAATTAGGTTCTGTTTTGCTGACAGCGGAAAAGGCTTAAAAAAAAAAGCAAAAATAAATACCAAAAAGAGGAACAGGACAAATTCTCATCAGAGCAAGCAAGGGGAAAACCAAAGAGGAGAGAAAGGCAGGGACTTAACAAGAACTGTATCTGAATTTTCTCAGCTGATGTATTGTTTCCTTTTGGTTTCTTAAAAAGGTCATTTGGGTGACCTTAGGGATATGTGAAAACTTTTCATATGAATATCTCAACAGTTTCTTTTCTGACCTCAGTGCAGAGACTCTGCTCAAAGGTGTACTCTTAGACAAAGAATTTTCCTATTTTCAAGGGGCAAAATGATCCACACCGATGCCTTAAAAAGTACCACCTAGCTTTATCACGTGTGTTGCTTGTCCAAAAACGGCTGTAGAAGGCTGGTCTTCAAAACTATACGTTTGCTAGTCGCGGGCGGGGTTAGCGGTTAAAGAGTTGAGGCTGCGCCATGACAGCAGTAACCTATTACAATGTTTTTCTGGAGGGCTCGTATGTGCAGCACAGGTCATGGCAGAAATGTGACGGAGACACCAGGGGGCAGTGAGGAAGGTGTAACAAGAGCACTTGGCTGAAGAGCCACACTGCGTAGGACCTTGAGCCACCTCCCGACACAGGCCAGGACTTAGGTGACCGACCTCTGTCACTAAGTGCTACTAAGTAGTTTATTTATAAATTATGAATACGACTTCGATGAAACTGAAACAGGCACAAATAATCACATTGCTGACGTGATGTCTGCCATACGGAATAGAATTTCAGATGTTTCAAATCATTAAATTGATCAAAACTCTTTGGTGAAATTTCTTTTCTTTCCACAGAACATTTCAATCTAATGTTAAGTGAGGTCTGGAGAAAAACTAGCACCAACTCCAAGAATGGGACTCTCTTAAAGTGAAAGAAAACCCTACTTTGTGAAAAGCCCCAATACTTTTAGGTCATGGTATCTGTATTCTGTATTTACATTCTTAGAGATTTCTTGCAAATTGCTTATTCTCATGAATACACATATTTTAGAAAAAAAATGAAATGATAAACATTAAAAAAAAATTTTAATGCTTTTTTATTTATTTTGAGACAGAGAGAAAGCGGGGGAAGGGCAGAGAGAGAGAATCCCAAGCAGGCTCGGCACGGTCAGCATGGAGCCCGACGTGGTGCTCCGTCTCACAGACCATGAGACTGTGACCTGAGTCAAAATCAAGAGTCGGATGCTTAACCGACTGAGCCATCCAGACGCCCCTTAAACATTTCTAATTCAGTAAAAAGTCACTTCAAGTCCTATACAAATGATAATCTCTTCTTTTATTCAAAAGAAAAAGGTCAATTATCAAGACTACTTCATACACGAAGACTTCAGACATAAAGTTTCTATTGAACTGCCTTTAGTTCTAAAAATCATTGAAAAAGCAGAGGACACTCAGGATAGATTCCAACAGGAGGCAGTATAAAACTTAACCTTTCTTGGATCTTTTTTTTTTTTTTTTTTTTTTTTTTTTAGATTTCTTCTTAAATAAACTAGGTATGTACCCTTACACCAAAGTACCCACTCTAGAGCAAGACTGTTACCTGACTAATCCACAGAAAGAAAATTTTCAGTGCTTTTTCCGGGAGCCCAGCAACCCTATCAGAATTCAGACCCATCGATAGTGACAGACTCAGTGCAATCTACCTCTAAGTGAGGGGAAGTAAGAGAATGTCTGACTTACATGCTCCAGCCCAAATCATGGGTTCCCAAAGTTATTCAGGTAGTAAAGTGCTTGTAAATCACAGAGGTGATTCTGATGGAATATTATGATAATTTAATTCTAATACATGTTTTAGACTATGTTTTATTGGCAAAACACAAGTATAAGGGATGTACCAGAAAAAATCACTGGAGTCTGGGGGAAAAAAGACCAGTTGTCAAACTGAGCTTGTGTTTGCCAATGTCAATTCCTTATTCACTGGTTTTGTTACTTAGAAAGAACACCTGGTACAGTTTTCAGAGGGCCAGGGTTCAACAACTTGAGAACTCTGTGGCTTAAAATCTATGTATCAATAGTTGACCACAGCTCTTTAAACAATTTTCCCCAATGATAAGTTTTTAATAGCCAATTCCTAAAATTTCGCAGGGCATTTTCTCGAGTTTAATGGTAATGAAGAGGATGGGTAAGTAAATCTTACCTTGCCCAATCTGCTTGTGAATGACAGGTGAACTGGGGTGTATTTGGGATGAGAAGCAGGTCAACACAGAGATGACAAAGACCCATTCCGGGAATTGGTCGTAGGAAGGAAAAGGAAAAGCCAGACTTCAGAGATATGACAGAGCAAGAAGTGGTAAAATGCAAAGCTGGGGAGACAAGAGTGAGGAATCAAAGACAATTTCAAAATAGCAGCTACACAAGCAATTCATGATGGTTTTCAAGTGATAAAAATAAATGGAAGAATCTTCTGAAGAAAAACATTTACTGTAAGAGCCACCCACAATTTCTTGAACACAAACCATTTATTGGAAAAAGGAAACATAAATGCCAGTTGATTAAACAATAGAATAATAAAACCACTTCAGAAAGGTATTTTAACTACGTGATCCCAGGCATCTTCCAAAGCTTAACGCAACATATTCTTTAAAAAGCGACACAATGTTATAGCATTCGTTCCACATCTAATTATTCTAATAGTGTGTTACTCATCTCATCCAAAATAAATAATATTCAGGAGCCCCTGGAAAAAAAACTTGACATAGATTAAGTGCTATTAAAAAAAAACACACACACACACACAAAACACAAACCTTTGGCTACCAAAAATGGAGTACTAGCCCCAAATCTGACAGAATCTTTTCATCTCTATGTCCTTCAAAATAAAGTCCAAGTTCCTTAGTCCATGCCTACCTTTACAGATGTGGTAGAAGAGAACCTCCGAGCAGCTACCCCATCCTTGCCCTCAGCAAGGCTCCGACCTCTGAAACTGGGCTGCCCTGTGATTCTCTTTGAACAACATAATTTGGCGAGACGATCGCCAGTTCTGGGGCTAAGCCTTAGGGAGTCCTGACGACTCCCGCTTTTGAGACCCAGCCACAATGTAAAGAAATTTAGCAACATGGCAAGACCAAATGGGGAAGGAGGGGAGGAGGACAGAGAAAGGGGGAGACAGTGAAGCAGGCCCGAGGCTGTACAACAGGAAAACGGGGGGCACAAGCACTCTGCCAAGGGGCGGCCACTATTCAGTCATTAGCTACCGGTCAAAAGCTACCACTTTTCAAAAGAACCTAGAAATCTAGATTTTTATATAGTATCTGATTAGTGACAAATGATTCTAATGGTTAAAAAATACTCTATGGGCTCCCTGCTCCCTCCAAAGGTTACCCAGTATGTGCCGTTTTCTCTGTGGCCTTTGGCAATCTGTTGCGGGCTACCCCTCGGTTTGAATTTCCACCTCTATGCTGATGATGCTCCTGTGTCTCTAACCCTGGCCTTCCCTTACAGCTCCAGATACATACATACAACGGGCTGCCGCCGGCTGCCGTGTGTCTTCACCTAATGTGATGCAAATGCCTCAGACGGGTTAGGTCTCAAACGGATAGTCACCTATCCCCTGAATCTTGCTTTTCATTCTGTGTCCTCTAACTCAGTGGGTTGTATCGCTGCCCACCTAGTGGTCCAAGCAGGAATCCGAGCAAGCATGGTGACGCCTGTCTACTTTTTATGCCCTACAGCAAGGTGATAAGAACAGCTTACTGATTCTATCGCCTCAAGATCTTTTGAGTCTGCTTTGTCTCCTGCGTTCTCACTGGTACTATCTTAGTTCAGATTCTCGTGATTTCTTATCTAGACTACTGACTACTGCAACGGTCTCTTAACTTTCCTCCTAACCAAAAAAAGCAAAAAGAAAAGAAAAAAACCCCCAAGAACATCACTGCCCTCCAGTTTACTTTCTATGCCTGTACAAGACTGGCCTTTAAGAGAGACAACTCTCAGCCCTCTACCAACAAGTCTCCTTCCAATGGCTCGCGAGACAAACGGGGCTCCTCAAGGTCTGGTGTCTTCCGACCTCTCCCCCGCTTTCTCTTTGTGCTCTAGGGGACTGTGTGTTGTTGGCTGTCCCCAGAATACAACACACTGGCTCACTGTCTACAACTGTGTGCTTACGAAACTCTGTTCCATCTGGCAGGTCTTTCTCTCCTTTAAAACATAAAGCTGCTATCGCAACCTCTCCGCTGCTTCTCCAACCTCCAACCCCACCAAGCGATCGTATTAGTATTCATCACTTCTCTGTAACGCATACAAGTTTCTTGTTTACCTGTTTGTTTGCGTGTTGCCAAAACAAAGAAATCCCCCCAGAGAAGCTGGCTAGGCCCCAGAAACTGAATTCATAATCTCTTTAAGCCCCATGTGCTGTAATTTCTTTTAGCAATATCCAAAATAAAACATCTGGTCTCGACGTCATTTAAGTATTTGGAACAGCTGCCAAATTAAAATGTCTCGAATCCCTTCATGATCACCATAAAAGCGCCGCAAAGTTGTATTTTGGCCAAGCATTTTAAAGCTCTACTCACCCAAAGGCTGATCACCCGTTTGCTCTTCATGGTCTACAAAAAGATAAAAATGCAAGAAAGATAGGATGTTATTGTCGGTGATACAAATATCTGCAGGGTTAAAGATACACGGAACCAATGAGCAGCAGAATCGGCAGCAGCAAAGGACAGAATGTGGTTCCTAACGGCTAACCAATAATTTTAAGATTTTCAGACTCTTGATAAACATACCTGGATGGGCAGAGTTAGACTCGGGACAGGGGACTATTTTCGGAAATTCAGCACCACGGCTGGGGGTAGTGATCTTTAACAGGCCACGTAGAAACCAGTCTGAAGACGGCGGGTGGTGGCACCGGGCACCGGCAGAAGCGCCGAACGGTTTCTGAACGTCTGCCGGGTCCTGTTCTGCGTGCTTTAAATGTAACGGATTCAAATAAACCTCAACTCGTCTCCGAGGTGTATCTTTCCACCATCACATAAATAAGGAATCCGAGCACAGAGAGATGAAGCAGCTGGCTCAAAGGAACTGAGCCAGTCAGCCTCGTTCCATAGTCCGTGCTTTCCGCCATCTGTATACCTAGAGCCAAATACCTCCCACGCCCAGGACCACGCGGGAGAAGCCACAGGGAAAGATGGAGTGGAGTCAGCGATGTGTCCACCACAACACAGTGTAACTCTGTTTGCGTTTTTAACAGCACATATAAAACGCCAGAGCCTGTTACAAGTTTTTAAACGTTCTCTTTTTCAAAGCCTCACTTTGGGGGGCATCTTTTGATTCTTGAGGAATCAGGATACAAGGAAGGAGGGGGGCCAAGAAAATCTCCGAGGCTTAGCGGCGGTTTCTCATAAAAGTTTTCCCGAGGTAACTTTTCACAGTGTTCACTGAACGGCAAGAAATAAGAGGCCAATTTAGGAAAAGGCCTAATTCTGTGTGGGTCTGGAGTCTGAAGCACAGTCCCACGAGACTCCTCATCAGGACAGCACCCCCGTAAGGGAGGCGACCCGGTCTGTCTAATTTGCATCTGCGTAGGGGGCACAGCCCCATCACTGCTCACAATGGCAGACGCTGACTAGTCAAATATGGGCACGAAACTAAGCAGGCTAGTTATGGTGCTAAAATAATGAGAAATGACCTGCCGAGAAGTAAGAGGGATCGCTGTAAATATTCAATGATGTAGTTGCCTCCTTCAACTGTTTGTGTAAGGTTTCATTTCCAGATACTTTCACAGGCTCCATCACTGCCTTTCAGGATTTCAGGCCCATGCTGACGTCCCCTGTCTTGACGTGGTCCTCAGCATTACTATGTGTGTCACCACAGCTAAGGCTTTCCCGTCAGCTTCGCTTGTTCAGACATCTGATATGGTCAGAAGTGGCCAGGGTGACGGAAACTTCTGCTGTCAGTCTCTTCCTGGTCAACGACCGGCTGTATCTCTGTACAGCACCAGTGATCCTCTCTTGCTTCAGAGAAAGACAAGCCACCCGACTAGCTCAGGTGTGTTCTATGATTGAGCAACTCTGAACTAGGTCCCAGGAGTCTAGCAAGTTCGGAAACGTTACCCCCGTCATTCTTTCAAAGACCGTTTCTTGCCTTTCAAATTAAAGATCACACACTTCCCCCTGTAACTGCCTTTTTAGGCCACAGAGTCATGTACACACTGATAAAAATATACATTGATATTTTCTGTGGCTGCAGCATGCTTCTGTCTATACAGTCTTGTAATCTAGAATATCTTCAATACTTTCGCTTGCATGAAATTATACTTCATAGAAGTACCAATTTCAATCCTCCGCTGTATTACTTTAGTAAAGAAAAAAGTTTAGTACTACCACTGTGGCCAAAGAATATCTACAGTACCTTTAAGTTGTTACATTCAAATTAACATTTTACATTTATATTACTCACCAGGGCATCCGAGATTATTTAATTCATCTAAAATGAAGTAAGAGAAAATAGATTAGTTTTAAATAATCAAACTGCCCACGTGGCACAAACAGTCAGACCAATCAAAGAGGTAGGTTTCAAGCTATTCAGGCATGTTCAGTTTAGAACTTTCCAAACACCTTCCAAGAGGAGGCACGCAAGCAGTGAACACGGAGAAAGGCTGCTGGGGTCAGCGAGGACTTCAAAGTCATGACTGTGCTCCCTGAATGGCAAAAAGCTGAACAGACTCCTTCATGATGTGTTCAGAGTTTTAGCTATTCTGGCCTTTGGGACAAAAAAGAGTCAAAGGATAGGTCTGTGGCCTCAACTGTAAACTTCCTGAAACTAAGAAACAATCTCAAATGATATTTTTCTTTTTTAAAAAACTCTTACTTGTCCAACAGTTTGAGGTTTACAGAACTAATGTGAAGAGAGTAAAGAGAGTTCCTGTAAACACCAGTTTCCCTATTTTAATGTCTTGTATTTAGTAAGGTGTATCTGTCACAACTAATGAACCACTAATATTCTCTCTCTCTCTCTCTCTCTCTCTCTTTTTTCCAGGACCCCATTCAGGACACCACATTACATTTTCTGATGCCCCTCTGGGTTCTTTGTTGTGGCAGTTCCTGAGCCTTTCCTTGATTCGATGGCCTTGACAGTTGTGAAGATTACTGGTGAGGTGCTTTGTAGCATCTCTCTCAGTTTGAATTAGTTGATGCTTTTCTCATGGTTAGACCAATGTCATGTGTTTTGGAGGTACAGTAGTTTCAGGATTATTAACCTGCACTCTCTGCCTAAAGGACAGATAAAATCATCTAAGCAAATACCCATGACATTATAGCCATCTGTTTCTCCTTTGTAAATCTTATGAAGATGCCAATTAACACGAACAATAAACTATAAATGTTACATTGTTCATAAGATGTCATGAAGGAACTTATTCTTCTCTGTGGTGTAAAATCAACTAAAGAGTATCATCAATAATCACTACATCAATTGTACAGAGCTCTCTACGATGTCTCTTGCTTCTCTTACAGACGTCATTCATTTCTAGTTACTTGGGTCAGCACCTTGTTCTTCCATCCCCTCTTCACTTTACATTTGTAATACATTTAGATTCTTTGGTTACATTTTGCATTCCATCCAGGGATTCCCCCTCCTCTGGCCTCCTACTAAATGGTTTTAAAAAAACTTTGCGTACAGAGGAAGCCTGGGTAAGCAGAACTGGGTTAAGCCGTCCACTTCAGCCAGGGTCACGATCTTCTGTCTCGCGGAGTCTCCGAACCCGTGTCCCGGCTCTGGCTGATGGCTCAGAGCCTGGAGCCTGTTTCCGATTCTGTGTCTCCCTCTCTCTCTGCCCCTCCCCTGTTCATGCTCTCTCTCTGTCCCAAAAAAAAAAAAAAAAAAAAAACCGTTGGAAAAAAAAAAAAAAGCACAGTATTCACCTTCGTGGTGAGCACTCTGATAGTTTCACTGCCCTAAAGAAAATCCTGAGCTTTGGGGCGCCTGGGTGGCTCAGTCGATTGAGTGTCTGACTTTGGCTCAGATCATGATCTCATGTTTCGTGAGTCCAAGCCCCGGGTCGGGCTCTGTGCTGACAGCTCAGAGCCTGGAGCTTGCTTTGAATTCTGCGTCTCCCTCTCTCTCTGCCCCGGACTCATGCTCCGTCTCTGTCTCTCAAAAATAAATGTTGGAAAAAAAAAAAAAAATCCCAAGCTTCACCTATTCAATCCCCACTTTTGTCCTGATTAAGTATCTTTAACAAAATTCATAAAATGAAGTAGGTAACATCATATTCTGCAGGCTAAAAAAACCAAAAAAGATATGAAGTGGGACACTGTTAATGGTATGTGTCAATCTGCCAATTAGAAAACATCTCAACTTTTACGCTCTTTGAGAAAGAAAAGTTGGATCTAATTTTTCCACTGGAAATTCCTGAAGTAGTTGCATAGTTGGATCTTCATCTCCAAGCGTGCTGAGAGGATTTGTGTGAAAATCAGAATTTAATAATGTTTGCCATTGTGAAAACCGCAGAGAATCATACAGGCACCCCATAGCAGCACCCCAGCAGGACGGTGATTTCCATGCATTGCCCTAAAGCCAAACAGCAGTGCTAGTGTGTATGTCAGTTCTTAGAGATATCCAACGTTAGGAAGGTGGAGAAAATCATGCAACCAGGCAAAAAAGGAGTAAGAGAAGGAGGACGAGTTTGTTAGGATTTCTTCACAGAACTTCTCTCATGTAAGGCCCCTGTGGACAACAGGACTGGGATCCCTTTATGCTAGAGAGTTCTTGGTCAAAAGTATGCTTTGGGACAAGACCAGTAATTACAGCACTTCAATGTGACACCACAGAGAAATGAAAGACAGGAAAATTCAGGAACCAAAAGATTTAACGTCATTTTTTTTTTTTTTTACTTTACCCACGTGGAGCCCAAGGTTAAGTAAAAGTGTAAAGCAGGAATTGAAAAAATACTTTGCTATCTACAAATCGAATTTCGTGAAACAATGTGATATACTAAGGGAAGGAGGTAACTTAAGTATTACAATTTACTCATTAGAACTTATACGCAATGCTTCACAGAATTAAAACAACTTAAAAGCTTATGTTGAATTCTTGTCCGGTTCTCTTTATACACTATGACAAAGATGACACAGTGGATTCATCTATAGACTTGTAGCTTCAAAAATGGATCTTCATTCGTAAAATTGTTTACGTTGAAACAAATATCAGACACCGGACAAAACATGTGCTCCACAAGAAACTGCCTGTCCTGAAACTCTCGCGGAAAGCACATTCGCATCAGAGCAGCACACAACCATGGCTAAAAGGATGGCTGTGATCATCCAAATGGCTATCCATGATAGTACAGCCATCCGTCTCTTTAACAGACTCTCTAGGTAAAAATTAACATTAAGAATTAACTGCAAGTATTTCCTATTCAGAAGATGTGCAGTAATGCTACGGTATGCGATAGAAGGTCAACTGGAAATTAGTCACGTGGAAATTAGTTACGTGTGTCCATTTGACAGTGTCGCTGGCAATTTATGAACCTTAACACTGAGATACAGTATCGTTCAGCGAAATCTCTTTCTTATAGCTAGTATTTTTTCCATCGCTGCACTCAGCAGGCTAGACAGAGCACTCCACCGCTCCCCAGAGGAACCAGCATGCAGGGTATTCGGGTTCAAACCAAAGGATTACGCTACCTTCAGTGCACTCCACTGCATCTGTTCTTCCTTGTTCCAGAGAAAACAAATGTGAATACAGTGTAATTCATGCTCTCAGGAAGGGCAGCCATCAGGTAAACAGAGAAATAAATATCATACAAATATGTTGGCAAACCAACATGTGCATCGACATCTCCTACTGTGGACGACCTCACTATAAATGCAGTAAGCCTGAACAGAACAACTCCCAAATTACGAACTTCATAATGTGGATTGTTGGTTGGTAATCAATCATTCTTTCCTTTCTAGGTCTGTAGCGCTCCGTTTTAAAAAGACGTGCTATTGAAACTCTCTTCCCACTTAAATCAAGATTTTGATAACTAAAGTTTTTAAAGAATCCTTTTTCCCCACAAACGTTTATGATTGTGAAGTATGTATTCTCTCTCATTTCTATATAAACAACGTAACTCCTGAGACTTAACACACCATTAAACAGAATGAGGTAAAAAGTAGAATTTCCGGGGCTTAAATGTTTCATTTTAAATAATTTGTGTTGTACTCCATTCGTGAGAACACTGAGTAAGACTGCTTACCTATGATGATTTCTACCTTCTTGCTATCTTGACTGTCTCGATCGTTATATACGTGACACCAGTAGGTCCCTTGGTGTTCCAGATCCACATAAGGCACCTATTATCAATATTAGAGCACACACACATTTCCTTCTCAATTTTAATCTAAATTGGCTTGGAGAAAAAGTTATTTTGAAGTCAGGAAAAAACCTATAACATCTCAGAGGACTTTAGATATTCTTACATCATTTCCATTTATTAGGTTAAATATTAGCAGGCAAATATTAGTGACTCTAATAATGGTGAGTTAGGCCCAATACTATCTGACATTTTAGTGTAAGCCCTTAGATGTGGGCTAGTGTTATGTTCCAGTACTTTTAAAAATATAAGAATCAGTTAATATTGAACAACAAGGGACTTGAAAAGAAAACAAGGAAAACGTGAAAACTCCCCAAAGGATATGAATTTTAATGTCTGTCTTAATTTTTAATTATACTATTTATTTTCTATATCAACACACAAAATACGCAAACAACCAACTTCCTACCATATATAGCTTTTTTGTCTCATGTATTAATGGTGACTCATTTTTGAACCACTGGTAGTGAGGAATAGGGCTTCCAACAGCGACACACTGTAAAAGCAATGTGCTCCCAGGCATCAGCTTTTGGGACCTTGGTTCAACGCAGATTTGCAACTTGGATTCAGAGATGCCATCCAAACTCCCTGAAATTAAAAGAAAAATATCATTGAACATAAATAAAATCTCTAGGTTAACGATACTTTTTTCCCTTTAACTGGAAAAAAAAAAAAGTGTTTTCAAGTTAATCTTTTTGTAACCCTTACTAGCCTCTCCCCAAACTCTGTTTCATAAAACTGTGGCACTTCTAGAAATACTAAGAGATGTTCTGTGGATAAAAGGATGCTGTAGAGGGGCGCCGGGGTGGCTCAGCGGGTTAAGCGCCCAACTCTTGGTTTCGGCTCAGGTCATGACCTCACAGTTTGTGAGTTTGAGTCCCGCATCGGGCTCTGTACTGACACTGCGAAGCCTGCTTGGGATTCTCTCTCTGTTCCTCTCTCTCTGCCCCTCCCCTGTTCTCTCTCGGTCTCCCTCTCAAAAATGAATAAAAACCTTTTAAAAAACTAGAAAAAACAGGATGCTGTAGACAAGTAAGTTTGGAAAATTCTGGGTTAAATACAGCTACACAGATATTTTATTGCAGGACTCCTCAGAGCTTTAATCATTAGTATGCTTTGTGTATTCAAGAAGGGAAAATCGTTCAAGCGGTTTTCACATGTGTTTGGCCACAGAATCTTTTTGGTGGGGGCAAATGACTTATTAACACCTTGAGTGATATTCATATTTCAAACAGAAAGTGCTACATTCTACTGTTTAGCTTATTAAAAGGAGGGGTTTTGTTCTCAGCATGGAATAAATATGGATGGACTATCACTAGCATTTCTTCCTGAGGTAGACACTAGAGAGCGTTATTTATTGAACGCTCGTGTTGCTCTAAGGTCCTCGAGGAAGGAGGTCTTACCAGTGTTAACACAGCCCCAAGTCTCTGTCCTGAAAGTTGGTGTCTCACACACGGCAGGTGATCAGTCTTTGCTGAACGAATAGGATTTCGTGCACTTAACTTTATTTTTTTTCATTTTTCTAAAACAGTTCAATTCAAAAAAGGTGAAGACTCTGACAAAATCAGGGGGAGGGGCGGAACCCAAAAAAGCCCACCGTGGGAGTCTACTGGCTGGGTCACAAACACCGCCATCGAGAAAGATATTTAGGTTTAATACGAATTTGATACAAAGAAAATGGGAAAAAATACCTCTATATGCTAAAAGCAATTAGGCTTCACAAATAAGGCCAGCGAGGCTATTTTATTTTTTTGACACCTTAATTCACCAGTGTTCTTTCTCTTATTTTCTTTTATACTCTCTTTTTAGTTCTTCTCTAATATGGGGAACTGGCTGGAAACTCTACAGTTCACATCCTCTTATCAACAAAGAGAAAGTAAACAGGACTAAAATGTACAAAAGAATGTACTGGGATGATATCATATAATTAACTTTCTCATATACACACATCACCTTTTGCTCTGTTCAATGCTTTTTGTTCTCCACAACACACACAGTGTAACAGACAGCATGGCCAGCGTCTGGCTTTCCATCACACTGCCTTTGTCTCATGCTTACGTAAGAATGTAAAATCCCACCATGTAAATCATACATACATGCTTCATGCTAGACTCAAATGTCCTCTGCATGCAGAGGATTTCACTTATAAACATATTAAAGTTCATTACATGCACAGAAATAGTCAAGAAAGACAAAAATAGTTTTCTTCATCATGACTATTTTTAGAGATTGTTTATTCAGCTATAGGAAAAGCTACATTGACACAGAAGAATGGAAGACAGACTGGTAACAAAGTCTGTTTCCCACCTATTCTTTTTGTCTGGCAAAATGACAAAGAATATGGTTCTTGACTGTGAGTGTGAATAAGAAAAATAACATCTGAGGGCGACTCTTTAGAACAGACTGAGTTTTTAAATCAATACCAGTTACTGGACTAAGTAGATAGATGACAAGGACTAGAAAAACAGTCCGATTGAAACACTTTACTGCAGTGAACGATACACGCCCTTTCATGTCAACATCGACTCTAGAGGTTTTATTCCACAACACAGTATGTTCAGAGTAATAGGAGTGTTTGGGAGAAAAATATACAGTGGAGAAAGAAAGAGAAGAAGTTCCCAGAGGTCAGCACCAGGGCCAGTCTGAGGTTCCAGGTCATCTTAAGGCATCTACATATACGTATATGTGCGTATACATATCAATCTTCACCGAGAAGGAATCAAAGCACAGGAGATAAAAATCTTAGCAACTGGTGATCTTCTATTGGTGATAAGTACACATGTGAGCTTCCGGTACTATTTTTGATGCTATGAAATTAAACATCTGAAATAAAGTAAGGCGATTCCCATTCCAGTATTCAATTTAATTTATCACTTACCCTGGAGGTTTCCTGTTACTTCTGTGACATCACAAACATCCAGCTGTGACCACTGGCTGAATTCAAAGGTGAAATTGTTATTAACTCGACAGACATAAAAGCCTGCATCTTTTACGTGCACGGTGTTAAAAATTAGTTCTGATGCATTTCCGTTTGGAATCTGTGAAAGAATCAGTAAGAGAATGTAAATGAATGACTCATCAAAACACGCCTTATAAAGTGTGCTGTGTAAAAAATGTGTTGATTTCCTTGGAGCTTTGAAAAGCGTATCTTTTCTCAAGTCCTGAAATATTTTTTACTTAAAAAAACAAAACAACCAAGCAACATTTTGAGTAATTTAAGATTAAAGTCTTAGAAATCCACACTCTTTTACAAATGCATTAACCAGAGAGTTAAGCTCTCTCCCATAGTTCTTCCCCAAACAGAAAATCGTCTATTTTGTCATTTAAAACTGTTCAAATCATCAGTATTCAAAGAAATCTACAATGGCAAATGTATAAGTAACACAGAAAGTTAGGCCTGGCTATTAATTTCAGTTATGGCCAAATTAGCTGCGAATACACATAAGCAAGTTTTTTGTTTGTTTTTTTTTTTACCTTGAGACCCTATTTTTTCATCTGCAAAATTCCGTAAGAGGACAAACTCCTTAACTACTACACTTCTTTCAGGGTCTGGGCGGAGAAGGGCTATGGAAAGCATGTCGGTGATGAGAAGGATGGCCGTCCAAGGGTCTCCCAAGCTCTCCCCTCAGGGCTTTGGTCACCACATTAAGGTTTCTTTCCCCTTTACTCATTAATCTGTAAAGGCCACCCACCTCCGGCACGTTGCCAAGGAGCTGAGTTGTGTACCTCATTCCATTACGTTAGATTCCTTGCAAGCGTAGTTTAGTAAGTTCATCTCTCTCTCTCTCCAAACCCCAACCAACTGAATTCAACTCTCACCCCCTCAGAACCTGCACCAGGCCCAGGGCATTTTGCTGAAGATTTGACAGCTGGGATGGCGGGCTGCACTTGGCACCATGGCGAGGCTTGGTAGGCAGACTAGCTCAAGCTGAAGACGTCCGGGATGAACAGACTGCAGAAAGCGGCTTTCCCAGCGACTCCCCTATCTGACTAAAAGCAAAAACTTCCGGGAAATGAGGCTACCGGAAATTCCTCCTTCGGGGTGACTTTATCCGGGAGGGAGACTAAGAGTAAACCTACCATAAATCCCCTCTCCAGGAAGAGTTTTATGGCCGTGATGATGAAAGACCACTTGCACCCGCATGAAGAAATATTATCAGAAACTTTCTTATCTGTTTCTTCTTCTAGAAACCTCTTCGCATTTCCTAGAGAAACCCACTCATTCTTCCCATACACGTCTTTCTCCCTCCTCCCTTTTCCCTGTTAAGTAAGTATGTAAGCTGCTGGCTTATTCACAGAGCTACTTCCTTTGTAAATTCCCATAGGAAAAAAAAACCTTTTTCTCTTGTTAATCTGTACTTCATCAGTTAATTCACAGGCACCCAGAGGCTGAACCTAAGAGGGTAGAGGAAAACCTCTTCCTCTTCTGCCAATCCTAGGCTCTTCCCTTGCTCCTGGAGATTTTCTCCCTGCTTTAGCATCCGTTTCTTTTATCGCACCACTCTCAAAAACCCACTCTAGTACTCTGTATCTTAAATAAATAAAAACACCCCAAACAAACCTCCCTTGACCCACATCCCCTCCTCTCAGCAGCACCGAGAATGCGAACTGCCCCTTTCTTCCTACAATACTTTCCCCTTGAGGCTTCGTATCCCTCTCTGCTGGATGTCCTCCCTTCCCTCTTGCAGATTTCTTCTTAGTCCCTTTACTGGGTCCTCTTCCGTAACATAAACTTCCAATGTGTCTCCAGATATCCAAACCGCCCAGCGGATTCATGCAGATGTCTAACAGGCGTTTCGAACTTAACACATCTAAAACCACGTCCTTGCTTTTTCTCCCTAAGTCTAGTTCTCTCCCAGCCTTCAATACCTCAGTATAGAACACGTCCCCAGATGCTTCCGTCACCAATCCAGGGGTGATCCTTGATCTCCCTTCCTTTTTCTTCCATCGGGGCTGGTTAAACTCTGCCTCTAAAGTAACCTGGCCTGGGCGCTTTGCTCCCGCTGCACGGCGTCACTCTAGCCACGCTGCCACCATGCCCAGGCCAGCTCGGGCACCGGCTAACTGGGCCTCTTGCTTCTCTCCAAGCAGGGGCCTTGTGTTTTAAAAACGTAAATCCCGTCATGTTATTTCTCCTGCTTAAGACTTCAGTGCATCTCACTTTATATCACCCTGTTTATTTTCCTCACGGTTCTGAGCTCAAAGAACTCTCTTATTTGTTTACTGTCTCTCTCCACTGGGGGGCGGGGGGGGGCAGGACCGTGCGTGTCAGTGCTTCATCATCATGGCCTGAGATCCTGGCCTGGCACGAAACAGGTGCTCATCAGGTATCTGTTAAATGAACAGCTCTTAAGGGGCTCCTGGGTGGCTGGGTCAGTTAAGTGTCTCTTAATTTTGGCTCAGGTCATGATCTCGCTGTTTGTGGGTTCAAGCCCCGCATCGGTCTCTGCGCTGACAGTGTGGATGGAGACTGCTTGGGATTCTCTCTCTCCCGCTCTCCCTGCTTGTGTGAGCACGCTCTCTTTCTCTCTCAGAATAAAAAAGCTCAGAAGAATAAAAATAAAAAGGAATAGCTCTTAAAATAGCCTCATGAACATAAGAATGGTTCAATGAGGGGTGCCTGGGAGGCTCGGTTGGTTAAGCGGCTGACTTTGGCTCAGGTCATGATCTCACGGTTCACGGTTCCTGGGTTCAGGCCCCGCGTCTGTCCGGCTCTGTGCTGACAGCTCGGAGCCTGGAGCCTGCTTCAGAGTCTGTGTCTCCCTCTTTCTCTGTGCCCCTCTCCCGCTCATGCTCTGTCTGTCTCTGTCTCTCAAAAATGAATAAACGTTTTTTTAAAAAAAGATATTTATTTATTTATTT